CGCAACCATAGAACAGTAACGCAACGAAGCTCACAAGCCGCATGCAGTCGCAGTGAGTTTCGTGTGGCTCTTGACACCAAGCTTAGAGTAAAATTAATCCATATGATATAAAAAAACCTTTCTCAAAAGTAAAATCCCATTTTTTAATATGTACCTTCCTGAACAATAATGATCTGTGTAGTGTAAAAAATGAATGTTCCTTTATTTGTTATAAAATTAAAAATGTGTTTTTATTTTATAAACATACTTACTTTTCTTAACAATGTGACTCATTTCCAAATATCTTCAAAAATGTGTGGCTCCTAAAATTAAGGTTATTAGTGGCCACTCCTGTTATATTATATACTTTAATATAGGTATCTGTAAATGGCTCTATCCATAGTATATGATCTAAGGGTAGGTACATGAAGAACATTGTATCAAAATTTCAAGATTTTTTCATGACTGACAAAAAAATTTGTACCCATATAACTTGGTAAAAATAACACAATTTCAAATAGCATAACTACGTAGTTCAATAAAAMAATCAGACAACTTTATTACACTGTCACTTGAAAGTKTATGTACAACTCTTGGGTAAACAATTAAGGGTTATTCAAAAATCAGTGTTTCATAAAATATTCAGTTGKTTCATAACTGTTCGACGATTCTAAATTACTAAAAAATGAATTATGAAATTCAAATAATAACCTCCTCAAATCATAAATGAGAAAAAAATGAAAATAAGTATTCTGGTCAAAATTATGTTAAAAACTAATCATAGCATAATATTTATACCTTATTATGTTCATTAATCATTATTAATAAAAAAACGAAYRATGGAAAATGAGTATAACATATTTTTCAATTAAAACTTTAAAAATAAGAGTGCATGAATAATAATTTTACTTTTTAAATCTAACAAGTTGTAACTTTACTCTGATATTTTTTTTATTTAAGAAACTTGGCGAGAACCATTAGTTTCGAAAATTTTATTAAAATAAACTAGTGAATAATATACAATATCTACTAAATTAGATAAACATTATTTTTTTTTTAAATTTAAATTATAAAACCAGCCTGGTTGAATAAATCAAGTGTGGATAAAATAAGAGATTGAGAATTGCAGGAAAGGATAGATTRAGAATTGGCTGGAATATTTAGAGAATTAATTAAGGAGAGAACTCTGATATTAATATACCAAAACTCATTTACATTATTTGAAAAGGATATTAAGAGAATGTGATACAATAATATCCACATGTGTTGTCTCCGTTTTACAAGTGCGTAACATACCAAATTTTACGTTCAGCAGATCACGCTTAGCTTCGTTAGTTTAGAAATTAGAGTGAATTGACCTGTCATAAAATTTAAAGGTAAGAATATAATTTAGATGACCTCATGGGCTTATTACTATGTATTATAATTTTAAAGCGAGTTATAAGTATTTTAAGATGTGCAAAAAATGTATGATTTTAAAATACTTATAACTCGCTTCAAAATTAAAATATAGTAAAAAGCACTTGAGGTCATCTAAATAATATTCTTACCTTTAAATTTTGTAACAGGTCAATTCAATCTAATTTTTAAACTAATGGAGCTAAAGATGATCTGCAAAGCATAATGCTTGCTATGTAACGCGCTTGTAAGACGGAGACAACACATACGAGTATCATGTCCTCTTAAGAGACTTATGAGTAACAAATAAATAATAATCATTCAAAATTGATTTCAATTTTTAGTTTTTAATAGACATAATTTAGGATATAATAAATTATATTTATATTATTAATTTATAAAGTTATAAAAACTAAGGAATTGTATTAAAAGTAATAATTTTTAGGTAAAATCTTGAATAATAAAAGATAAATTTAATCTTCTGTACAGTCTACGACAACAGGGGCTTCATCGTCATCCTCTTCATCTAAYCCATGGAATTCCCAACCAAACTTTTGCAGTAAAAATCTCTTTATTTGAATTGTACCATCTTTAAGATCATCTTCTAGTATAAAATCACAAATTTCTAATGTTCTAAATAATTCTTTCAAACCATTATAAATAACATTATTATTTTCAACAATATCGACCAAAAAGCCTTCAGGTATTGTTTCTAGTTGATGACGCACTGCTATAAAAAACTTTGCAAAAAAGTTTTGATCTTGAGAAATTGCATCCTTACTCATACAAAATAATTGAAATAGCTTCTTCCAGCGCTCAAAAGACTCATAACTTAAACCAAGAAGAAAACAAATATAGGAAAATTGTAGTTCAGCCAATAAATCTATTTTACTGAAAAAAAAAAACAAAACATATTGTACTTAATTAATAATGCAGTTAATAATATTAAAATAATAGCTATAAAAATATGGTAATAACTTATTATGTTTTTCAGCCATGTTATTGAGTATGTATGTAGTATCAAGTGAATATTTAGTGATTTCTGAAAGTGATGAACCAGGTGGATAATGACATTCTGGAGGTTCAGTAAATCTAAAATCATATTAATAATAATACACATAACTTATATTTTAATTTATAATGTAACATTAAAAAACTAACATAATAACAAAATGTAACTCACCTTATTTTATTTTCTTCTTTCGGTACTAATTTGGGCAAATTTTCATATCCAACATCTGTTTCACTTCTAATAGGACCCCATTTTCTTCTTYTTTTTGTGWTTTCTTTAACTGATGTAGGAAATAACTCCATTGCCGAACAAATTAATTTTGTTTCAGGGCATAACCTGTTAATTAAATTTTCTAAAACAAAAAAATAAATGACAGGTAACAAAAGATTTATTGTTACATAGATTTATAGTTAAACATACCAGTGAGTAGTGAAGACAAACCATTCCATTTTGGTAGTTCTTCATATGGATATGGTCCCAAACAGTCATCAAAATATAAGATATTTGTTTTGTATTGCACTATTTCTAATCTGGGTACATCTACCAAAATTTCATTGYTTGTATCCCACTTTTTTACAAGACATTCACCTTTTTTAAAACCATGAAAAAAACCACAACGTGGAGCTGTATTACCATATTTATCGGTGGCACTGTTAAAATAATACTGTTGTTAAAAACCTATAATCTACACATTACAAACATGTTTAAATATTAAACTCTAGTCAATAATAAAAAAATGTATCTACATTACCTGTAGTATACAAAATGTATACCAGGAGGTATCATTTTGATTCCTTTGAATTTATCACCAGTAGCCCAGGACATCATATCGATGCCAAATTCCATGCCTGATGGTATGTCGAGAAAAAACGCTGTAGCACCGTTCAGATATAGTTTCATGGCCTCGTCTTGATCCATGTCCTAGATATAATTCAATTAAATATTATAAAAGGGACGATAACGATAAAAAACAAAAAATTTGGTACACTTTTTGTACCTAATTAATAAATATTATACAATATACATCATAAATTGAAATTTTAAAGATTCAAAAATCTAGATATGGTAATGGTAGACAAGTGATAACCATATTGACAAAATTGATAATACTATCAAAAAAAATATGGTAAATAAGGTAAGCGTGTGGTTAACTACT